CCCCCCCCCCCCGTGATCCCCGAAGAGGATTTCGGGAGAGAAATCGATAACGGGTTCTCCACTCCTATAATTTCATTAATATTGATTTGAAGAGATGTATTTCCACCCTCTTCTAAGTTAGCTCCTGACTTCCTTTGTTTTTTTACCTGTGGAGACTTCGCCTCGCCATTATTCGCAACATTGTTCCTCTCCTTTCCCCTGCTTTATTTTTCTTCCCCATCTTCAACTTAACTGACGAATTCGCAGAGTTAAGCTTCCACGCGTGTCCCGTAAGCAAAGGACACCGGCAAGAAATACCGGCAGTAAACACGTCAGACAAGTTCAATTATTGTCGAAAATATTTTCGAAAATATTTACCCAGTAGACAAGCGATTTAAAATGAGACGCGCGCGCGCCCGCCATCCACTGAAGGAACCTCAGCTCGTGCCCATATGATAAATCTTAATATAATTTACTCAGCTTATAATTATCCTAATCTTTTAATTTTTAGCTCTTTGGCCATATAATATTATCCCCGTATTTCTCCCTTCCAGGATAGGAGTAACAAGAAACTAATGAATATTAACTTATCCCAATATCCACCATATGTAATACTCATATATTAGCAGAGCGTATGCTAAAGACTAACCACAATCGTGACAGACATCTCTAGTTCAATGTCAGCGATATTTGCATCTGAAGTATTCAGTCTCAAGGACAGTCGGCACGAGTCCGCCGACTGTTAGAGAAACAACTCGAAAGTGTCTGAAATTACCTCAATAAACTTATCGCATCCTTGCTTTAACTTGGTTTCAAATATAATTTTAGCCGTGAGTAGCAGAGCTATTATGCACCTCTCAGGAACAAGTACAAAACCCTTAACCAGAATGATCAATTTTGAACTCACCAAACTTCTAAGCAAAACTCGGAATTTTTATTATATTCGTTATATGACGAAATAATACTTTCTTAACATGCTAGAAAAACTATATTATTTTAACTTATCTACTAGAAATTAACCACTAGGAATTGCATATCTATTATTAAGTTCAATACTCTATTCATTTTTATTGATAGTACGCAAAATAATCTATATTTAGATAACAATGACAACGGACAACTGTATTTGTTATCTTTATTTGACTTTTGTTCAACGTAGACTCAAAAGAAATATAAGATATATATCAGGTAATTTACCTTTTTTTTGTTATCCTTTAAGCTATATATGTACGTCTTGAACTTTCACGATTTTAGGTCAGGTATTCTAAGCTATACTTTTAACCCTTCTATAGTAAGCTTGAATCATCAAGTCCCTCATTTAAACTTGCTTTAAACATTAAACCGGTTGTATCTATCTTCGTTGTATAATTCTTGTTTCGTTGTATAACCGGTTGTATAATTCTTTTCTATCTTGAAATATAACTTTTATAGCACTAGAATATATAAGGATATGAATAAAGACCTGTCTTTATCAAGCATTAAAACCTCTGGCTAGAAAATTCGTATTATAACACAATATACTATAAATTAGACAAAGCGATCTTTCACCGTTGAAAACTCACCCTCAATTGTCTCCAGCTATTCCAGTTTTCGGATTTGATCCAGCCTCCGAACTTTCCACATGCAGTCGTCTTAGCCACCGATAGGATTTCCCGTTTGCAAGCGTCTGGTGAATGCACCCAATCACGACGTTCAACTTGGTTTGTTAATAATTATACAAAAATTATTCCGTCGGCTTCTCAGAAATCTTTAGCCAATTTTTCTTAATTGGAGATGTTTTCTCTCTGGCGGTCGAGAACGGAATCCGTCCTGCGTCCTTCACACGTGTCTACGCATCTTGCTCGTCACAGTACAAGTGCCGGGCGTTGATCCTTCCGCGGGCACGTAGTGATCGCTATTTCCACGAAGGGGCCTTATCGTGTTTAATTAGTGCGCGGCCTTACGGGTTCCGCGAATAGCGTGAGCCGTGTCATCTACGTATCCTGCGTCCTGGCGTGCGAATTCGACTTGGCAGCAGGATTTCCTTCGGCCGGTTAGGAGACTCTCCCGGATCTTTGCTATGCGGGAGACTCGCATCTCAGTGGCGGCATCCCAGTAGTCAGTGTCTCCGCTTCCGACCTTGGTTCCAACCTCTCAAGGGAGGTCTCCACGAGCTCCGTCGTGGGGTATCTCGCCGATACTTGGGCGTAGAGTGGCCATCCCTGGCTGCCGCCCTCATTATCCCTCTGCTATTTGCGACTGTAATATTATGTAATGGAACGACAAGTTTCGGAACAAAGCAAAAAGTATTAAAATATGGAGCGATTCATCTGCATGCTCCCCTCCTTGTAGCATGCTGGGCGCCCAAGCCAATCCGTCCTCAATCTCCTGAATCTCAATCCTGGCAGTCTTCTCTCTTCATCGTGGACCGGTGAGACGACACAAAATTCAAAAGATCACAAGGGGGTCGCCAATTATCCTATAAAACTCGCAGCACGATAGCGCACGAAAGAACGACAAAAACCGATACAGACAATCTGCAGGACACACAAATATACGAAACAAACACAAAATAGACGAAATAACACTAAAAAGGATATGCAGATACGTCCGCCTTCTAAAAAGTGGAAGGACACAGGACGCCAGAGTTGCGCTGTTCGATCGGGCCTTACGATTTTTATGACGGACGAAATACGTCACAGCATTGATCTAGCGTAGTGCACGTGATCGAATTCGTTATAAGGATTTTAGGAGAGGAGGGAGGAGTATCCTAATTACCGGTATGCTTCTTTAAATCAACGAATTAATTAGAAGATATTTAGTCAGAATGGAACATCCTGTTATTCATGTTTCCTGGAACGATGCAGTTGCCTACTGTAATTGGAAGGAAATGAGATTGCCAACTGAAGCAGAATGGGAAGTTGCATGTCGTGGTGAACTCTCTGATAGACTTTATCCTTGGGGAAATAAACTAATGCCAAAGAATCAACATAAGTAAGTTGAACTCATTTATATAATTTTAATTTGGAATTGTAATTGTGAAGGAGACGGGCTTCCTCATTGAATTCGATGAAATTATAGGCTCATTCGACGCGTTTTTGCATGAAATGAACAATTCTGGTAGAAAAAAAGTGTCGCTATACAATCTGTTCTGCAAACCAAGATTAAGTTGACGACTATTTAGGTTAGGAAATCTGTCACATCCACGCCAATACTGCGATATGAGCATACGCTGCGGTCATCTTCTTAAATTATGCTCTGTGACCTCGTGCGCATGCGTTTTAGGTACTTCTCGCTGTTTTAAATATTTATTTGCTTTAAAAACACAAATTCTCTGCTTTGAGAATAAATTCTCTGCTGTAAGAACAAAAATTATATAAGAAAATAATTTGTATTTTTAAAGTAGAGAATTTGTTTTTAAAGCAGAGAATTTGTATTTATAAAACTGGAAAATTGTGTCAAAGCAGACAGATACCTAAACCACAGCGAGAAATATCTACAATAAACTAGTCGCCAGAGATTTTGAAGACGAAGAAATTAAACAGTTGTTTTCTTGTTTTAATCACGGTAGTTTTTCTTAGCTTCTTAGTGTATTCCCCGGGTTTGGTTTTCCGACCCAATTTTTTGAAAGATCACAGTACCATGCGTATCAATTTAGCTTTAGAATCTCTTCGGACAGTAGAGGCTCGCTTATATTTTTGCATTTAGTAGTAGTTTGCATTCTTACTCTTTAGAGTTTCAACACTTGATTGAATCTATAGTTTAACGCCGAATCCGAACGGCGAACGCGAAAAATCGCGTATACGGGGCGCAGGTGGGATCGAACCATGGTGAAAGGGATAACATGGTGCGTACAGTTTGCAACCTTCTTTCTCTGAATCTCCAACCTCTCTGTCTATGAATGTCGATAAAAGCCTAAGGACTGCTAACTGTGAAACGCTAAACATGGGGCGATTCATAGTCCGTTTTTATTTTAAAACTGTCTTAAATAATGTCTTAAGATGTCTATACAGTCCTCGGATTGACTTATGGTATCTTAAGATTGTATTTAAGACAGTCTTAAATGCATTAAAAAACTATGAATACTGGCCTGTTTCGCGTCGTGAAATTGGTACTGAATCTTTCCTTGTTTAACACACTTTATGTTTCTCTTTCTATAGAAAGAGAAACTTTTTTCTTGCATTTAAGACTGTTTTAAGTACAATCTTAAGATGTGATAAGTCAATCCAAGGATTGTATTAGCATCTTAAAACATTATTTAAGACAGTTTTAAAATAAAAACAGACTATGAATATCGCCCCATGTTTAGCGTTTCACAGTTGGCAATCCTTAGGCTTTTATCAACATTCATAGACAGAGAGGTCGGAGATTTAGAGAAAGAAGATTGCAAACTGTACACACCATGTTATCCTTCCACCATGGATCGAACCCGAATCCATAGATCACGGGTCAATCGCACTAAGCGACGAGCCACTCGGCGCCGCAATCGACGGTTTGGGGTATAAAAATACTAAATTATAAAGTGCTGCAACATTAAGGGAGACACTTGGAAGTAATGAAAGCAATAGTTTCTTAAATTAAATTTTTTAATTTTTTGATTAAAACTCGAAAACGAAAAGCGATAACGAAACATGAATCTGAAGTGAACTGAGTATTTTATAATCAGATTAATGACGTCACTACCAGTTATGTAAATATAAAACCGAAATTTTTAAATAGAAAATACACGTTTATTGCATGAAAATGATAAAAAATATTTTATTCGAAGTATCGCCCATCGCTAGCTATACATTTTTTCCACCTGTTTGACAATTTGTGGATGCCACGCCAAAAAAATTGTTGCTCTTTTGAGCCAAACCAGTCATCTAGCCATTTTCGTACATCTTCGTAAGAAGTGAAGCGCTGCTGAGCAAGTGGGTGTCCCATCGATGCAAATAAGTAGTAATCGGACGGAGCCAAGTCTGATGAGCCGCATGCGAAAGTATTTCCCAACCAAACGCCTCAATCGTTTCCTTGACCAGTTTTGCTGTGTGTGATGGTGCATTATCATGAAGCAAAATCACTTTGTGTTGCTTTTTTTGATATTCCGGTCGTTTTTCACGCAAAACTTGATTCAAATTGATCATTTGCTGTCGGTAGAGTTCAGTATTAACGGTTTCGCCAGGTTTAAGCAGCTCATAATAGATCACACCTTTCTGATCCCACCAAACACAGAGCATTGTCTTCCGTCCATAGCGATTTGGCCTTGCAGTCGATGTCGATGGTTCGCTTGGAGTTACCCATGATCTTTTACGCTTAGGATTCTCAAAATATATCCACTTTTCATCGCCAGTCACAATTCGATGTAGAAATGACTTTCTTTTGTACCTGGCGAACAGCATTTCGTAAGTGGTTTTTCGGTTTTCCTACTGTCTTTCATTCAGTTCATGTGGAACCCATTTTCCCATCTTCTGGATCTTTCCCATGGATTTCAAATGTATGGAGACGGCTTCTCGTGTCACATTCAATTGATCCGCGAGTTGTTGTTGAGTTTGAGCGTCATCTTCATCCAACAATGCTTGCAATTCGCTGTTTTCAAACTTTTTCGGTGGTTTTCCACGTTCTTCGTTTCTCACGTCAAAATTACCACTTTTGAATTTTTTAAACCACTCAAAGCACTGTGATTTACCAAGAGCATGCTCACCGTAAGCTTCGACAAGCATTCGATGCGATTCTGCAGCAGTTTTCTTCAAATGGTAACAGAAAATCAATGCTGTCCGCAAATCGTAGTTTCCAGGCACAAAATTCGACATGTTCAACGCTATTACAAACTATACTGTTGTATGAAACTTGTATTTTTGTGAGTTGAAAATCTTTGTCAGATGTCAGAACAAGGAAATGGCGTCAATGACGCGGTCTGACGGCAACTACATTGACAGCTATGGCCATATATTGGTAAATTCCGGTTTCATATTTACATACCTGGTACTTGCTTACTTTGGTAAAAAGTTATTACATATCAATGCAGGTTCATAACCTCACTTTGAAGTGAGTTTACGAGACTCACTAAAGCACACAGTCTTGATCTCGTGCAGATTATGGGTAAAAACTCAGTTGAATCTCACTTGTCAGAATGCAAAAGGAAGGCGCATTCAACTGAATTATGACGTCACAAGTGAGAATTATCTGAGAATCGGTGTAAATGGAAAGCAGCTAATGCTAGTTCTTCTTTTTGATCGGTTCCGCCATTTCACGATCAAACTATTAGTTACAAGAAGGCGTAAAGAGAAAGAAGAGGTTAGAATTAGGAATTACGTCATAAGCATCTATCGTAAAATGGCGACATGTTGCATCATGAGAAAATACGGTATTAAAAAATTCTGAAAAAATTCTCAGAACTTTATGAGAGGAAAATAAATTATTTTTGTCTCTTGCAGCTTTTCTATAAAGTTCATAGTATTTGTGTAAAAAATTATTCAAGACTAATATTTGGCAATTTTTAGTAATTAATACCTTGTTAACTACTGCAAAAATTGCAAAATGGTAGAGGACTTTTGGACTCAGTTTAGTCCGCTCTATCTACACAAAAGTGATTGGCAAAAAAGTTCGGGACACTCTGTATATACAGTCTGTAAAGTAAGAGCGTGTACAGGTTAATGTGTAGAAAAATTTATTTTTAATGATTTTTAAGTACATAGATTTGTTGTACTCCATGAAAAGAAAAATGCTATACCATTAATAATGAGTCCAGTCAACACCGGCATTGATAATTGCCTGACATCTCCGAGGCATATTTTCAACTAAGTTGACTGCGTATTCGTTCGGTAAAGACCTCCAAATGAGACGAATTTGTCGTGTCAGCTGCTTCAAAGTACATACTCTTTTTCCTCGAAGCTTGTGCTTGAAAAATGCCCACACATTTTCAATGGAATTTGCATCTGGCGATTGCGATGGCCAATCAAGTGTGACGATGCCAGACCGCTCTTTCCACTCGGTGCAAAGCTTGCTCCGGTGTTTTGGGTCGTTGTCTTCCTGTAAGATCCAGTCCTCGTTTTTTTTATGAAACATCGTTCAGCAGTCGGCAACAAATACTTTTCATAAATTTTAAGCATTTTCGGAGAATTTAAATTGTATGTAAATAGATGTAATGCTCCAAAACCCTGTTTTGAAAAGCAGCCCAAAAGATGAACTTTTACAGGGTGTTTAACGTTCCATTGTATTGATCTATTGGTCAAGGTTGACCAGGAACGTCGGATGGTAATATATCCCCAAACAGAAGCTTCGTCCGTAAAAATCACGTTGCTCCAATCTCGGTCCAAATTCTCCTTTGCCCAAGCGAGTCTTTTCATCACATGTTTTTCGCCTAACAGTGGTTTCTTCATTGTGCTTCGATATTTGATGTTATGCGTAAGGAGATGGGTTCGAATAGTTGTATGTGATATTTCTATACCCTTCTGTTTTAATTTTGCTGCTCCTTGTCGCAATGTTAAGGTCGGGTTCCGCTTAAGGGGTTACATCTAATTAAAAAAAATTTTTTAACGTTTTTTTTTGGCTTAAATGATGTATAAACATCCCAAGAATGATACACAAAAGGAATTATAAGCGGAAAAATTTTTTTTCTTATTTTTTTCTTATCTTGGTGTACGTGGCAGCAAACCGCCGCTACAAACACCCTACCTATTTATGATCATAAGCCACCTTTGTCCACGGAAATTTTCAACGCTATTCAAAAAGTATACCAGGATTTAACAACAAAGGACCTGCTATCAAGATGTCTGGGTGGATACAGAACTCGAATGAGAGTTTTAATTCCATCGTGTGGACGATAGCTCCGAAGTCAATTTCAAGTGGCAAGAAGATTCTCGATATAGCGGTCGACATAGCAGCCATACTTTTTAATGAAGGATTCAAAGGGCTTCTTGAAGTAATGGCTTTACTAGGATTAAAGATTGGCTACGAGACTTATAATTTTTGCCACGAAATCGACGAACACCGCGTAAGAGCTGTGGAGCACT